AGAGTGAAGTCGTTTTTACTCCCTGGCTCCTGAACAACCTGAGGGAAAGATCTCCCTCCCCACAGGTTAGAATTGGCCATACCTCTGGTCCAAACGTTTCATTTCTGCTGTCTCCAGTGGTACCTTGAGGCTAAGCTAATCCCATTTGGACATTAAAATAACTTTTTATAAAGTGAGACTTAAATGGTTTTCAATTTTTAAAAGTTTATGATGTGACTATTTTTTTCCTGGAAGCTTATTTTGTGAGTTTTACTATTATTGCCATTTTTGTCTGACTCAGATCTATCTTGTGGGTTTTCTGGTCAGAAAAGGAACCTAGTCCTATAACTTGTTCCCTCACCATGCCAGAAGTGAAAGCTGATAAAAATAGTCCCTGAGGTTTATAACTAAAGATTTTCCTCTGGGTGGTCCTTGATCCATAATCATTACCCTCTGGAAAAGTTTATCCAACCAACTGGGATTCTGACTAACCTAAGTATCAGCCAGCCCACATATTTTCAACTTGCTGACAAGGATATCAAAAAATGCTGTCAATTCCAGTGACTCTGTCCATCACACAAAGTGAGCACTGGTCCCATCACCAGATCAGAAAAGAAGTATGGCTTCTTTCTCAGATACAGTCATTTAACTTTTTGTGTGCCTGTCTTCTGTCCCAGTGAGACACTAAGCTCCATGAGGCTGTGAATCTTGTCTTGTTCCTACTTGAATTCCCCCACAGCTCTGAGTCTATCAGAAGGGCCTTTGGCTACCTCTCCAGGTTTTTCGCCTACCCCTTTATCACACTGTGTGTGGCCTTGCAGTGCTTAGAGTGTACTGCGCTCTTTCAAATATCGGTGTCTTAGCACTTACCTTCTATCTGGCTCAAATGCCCTTTTTCTCCTTTCCCAGGACTCACTGCTGATCACAGGTCAAAATTCTATTGACCTGTTTCCTCCAAGACACCTTCTCTGACTCCTCCCATCATTTTCAACCACAGCTCTTGTCACACCTTGTAATTGTATCTTTACACACTCCACAATGAGTTCCTGAGGGCAGAAGGTGTCTTTTCTGTCTCCATGCTAGCCTGGTTCCTGACATTTAGTAGGTACTTAAATTTTACCCCCCATCCCACCTGTTGCAAAGGGTGAGAAAACTTTGCAAACTGTGAAGTGCTATCAGTTGATTATTGTCCTGGCTTCTTGCAGAGGAAGAAGCCTGGGCTTGTCTGAGCTTATATTCAACCTTCTTTAGGGTCTCAGCTTTCATCTTTCAGGTGCTCTGTGATCTCTGTTCAGACACTGGATATGAGAAAAAGATACTTTGCCAACTTCCAGGGAGATACATTGCTATACATTCATTCCTTTATTCATTCATTTCGTTGCTCACTCTCTATGTGCCAAATTCTGAAATACATGAGAAATGAGCTGTCCCTGTGTGTGCAAGATGGACTTCAGGTGGTCTTTTCCAAGCACTGTCCAGCCCTGTAGTGGTACTTCCAAGGAAAGGTATTAAGGAGTCAGAGGAATTGGAGGCTGCAAGCTTTTTCCTAGGACTACAGGCCTTTCTGGAGGCAGGACTGTTCAGGACCAAATGGAACAGAGAGAACCAGCCTCAGGCCAGAGACTGCCTTCCAGAGGGACAAGGGCTCAGGTCCTCAGCATAAAGAGATCAGTTTGCTGGTCTCAGGAGCTCTTTGGGTACTGATTTCTCAACCTCACCACCTCCTTCCCAAGGCCAAGGGTCTCCATCTTCTGCACAAAAACTTAGGAAGACCTTGACCCTTGGCTTCCACCCATACCCCATGTTGCTCTCAGAGCCCTCCTTCTGGGCTGTCCTAGTGTCCATCCTGTGTGTTCTACTTTCCTAAAAGCAAGGTGGCCTTGGTCTCCATGGTTCCCAGTGTATCCCATTGTTCCTTAACAGATTTCATATTCCTTTTCTTGGAAGACACTTTGGAGATCAGCATACTTTTCCCCAAAGACAGGAAAAAGAGACGCAGAGAAATGTCAGGCATCCTGCCACACGGCCCTTTCCCTACCTTCAGATGCGTCTTCTGAAACTCTCCAGGCTTCCCAGCCCATCCTGCCTCCATGGGAGCCAAGGAGCTTGCTTAGCCATGTCTCTGTAAGAGCACCTATTTTTGCCTCTCCTTCCAAGTGTGCGTTCCTTTGTGGAAAAGGACTGTGGCTCAATGGATGTTTGCAGAAAACAGTGTTCCAGTCCAGAGGTGAGTGGCAGAGCAAAGCCCAGGTTTCCTGAGATCTCACTTATTGCCCTCCCCACCATAACCTACACTACCTCCTCCAACTCACTCACTTCCTACACCTGTCCTGTCACTTGGGTGGCTTCCAATTCCCTCTCCAATACTCTCTCCTGCCCTGTGACAGCTGTGTAAGATCTGATTTTGGCAGAATGATGGAGACTTGGGCAATGGCACATCAGGCCTGGAGGATGAATTCAGGCCATTACTGGGCTTGGCAAAGAGCAAGGACATAAACTTAAGGGCATTTGCCAGGGAGTGGGGGGTAGGCATTAACCCAAGACAAGGTTCCAGAGAGAAGGCCAGAAACATGGAAATCTATATGGGAGGGATAGACAGGACAGTAGTACCAAGTACAAACAGAAGTCAAGGGCCCAAGATCTTGGCCCTGTAGAGTTGTCATCCTTATGGGGTAGGCACCAGAGTCCCAGAACAACTGGCATCAGGGAGGTGACTGAGAAGCCATTGGGCTTGACTCAGACCTAGAGTAGGACTGAAATAGGGTACTTCGGATCTCCCTGTGTAGGACAGCTTCTAGGCCAGGCCAGGGTGGGGTGGTTAGGATAGTTAAGTAAACATATTTGCCAGGATGAGAGTGGGGTCAGGAGAGTAGAAAATCTTAGCAGGAATAATACCATTTTATGCAGGATTCTAAGTGCCTGTAATTCTCCCATTTAGGAGTCACAGGTTCAGTTAGGTTAAAAGTGATCTCTCACTCTCTTATTTGGAGTGTAAATGGCATGTGTGTTCGTGGGGAATGGGATAGGTGGTGAGTAACAACATGATTCACTGTCAATGGGTCTTTTAGACTGGCTTCCTCTCCAACAATGGCCTGGAAAAACACATGGGCTTGGAAGAGGGCACCTGGAATGGACAGAAAAGTCAGGGAATGGGTTTTGCCACAGCTGCCCAGATAGGACAGGAAGATCAAACACAGCTCCTCCAGAGTGGTGGTCACCTAATTTGACTTTATTGCTGAACAGTCTTTCCTCAGAGAGTATGACTGTTTAGATATCCACCCCTGAGCCCCCAGGAAGAGGAGAGCTAGGAAGGATTCCCTGGGGGCTAGGGAAGAAATGTAACTCAGGACAGGGGTCCCCACAGGGCAGTCAGGCTGGGCTGGAGCCAGGCTTCCCCTTCTTCCTCAGTTTCATTTTGTTTCTCCTGAGTTTCTTCATCCTTGACATTTTGCATCTTTTCTG